TCGGCGCCGGTCAGCCCATGTAACTAGGCATCTAGTTTAAAATAAAACAAACTCGAACTCTCTAGCTTGAAGTATATTAAAAAATCTTGGGAAATACTTCGAGGTCCTTTTTGGGCCATGTTCTCTGGAAATCTCCTAAACCGTAAGACTTGGAGACAAAAAAAGTTTTCATTTCCGTAACTCACTGTGCCTAACATTTATGAAAAGTTTCGTCAAGATCAGATGTACGGTGTCGAAGATAATTTCTGAGGGGAGGCGGGGCCATAAATCCCGGTCCCGATCCTGTAAGTATTTTTCCTCCGACCCCTATCCCGATCCAGCGGGATCGGAATCTGGATAATCTTGCAGGACTCTACTCAGAGCTCTAGTTCGTCTCAGATTAAAGACGAAAGTGTGCTAAAGATTTTTCTACACAATCTTTCATGCAGTAACTATGACGAAAATACAAACCTTTTTAGTTTAAATGAATGCTTTTATATCTGTAAGATTTTCGGATAAATTTTGAAAATTAGGTGTTTGTATTTGCATCATAGTTATTGCATGAAAGATTGTGTAGAAAAAACACTTTTATCTTTAATCTATAACGTTCCAGAGCTCTGGCGGGCATCTCTCAATGTTCGAAAATTATAAGAGAAATAAAGTGTGTAAAAAATCTTTATTTATTTTTTTTTATTTTTTTAAAAAAAAAAAAATTTCATTTCGGCAGTTGAGTTAACTGACCAAGCCAAAATATAAATTGATATGTTTTTTTTTGTTATTATTAAAAACAAATTATCTCATAATTATTACAAAAAGGATTTAAAATATTTTTTATTTAAGATTTTATGATAATGAATAAGTATGAGAGAATGAATGTAACTTTATCTAGTAAGATAAATTTTGACATAAATTATAATTGATACATTGTATGTAATATATCCATATTGACAATTTGACAATGATGAACACATGTGTAAGAGTCATTTTACTAATTTTATTTTAATAGAACAGATTGGATTTTATTTATTTATTTATTTATTTATTAATTCATCTCTTTTTATTCTTTCTTCTATGATAATGAAAAGAAAGGAAAATCCATTTACATTATCAAATGATTTATTTTATCTCTATTTTTTTTTTCTTTTTTGTTTCTACCGGATATGAAAGACATCAAAGAATTGAATAGAAGATTATTATTAAATAAATATAAGATAACATCTGGATAATAAGTAAAACAACGATTTATCACATAAACACTTATTTATTTTTCATTTTTTTCTTTATAAACTAAACAGTAACTTCTTCTTTTCTGTTTTGTTTTCAGTATAAAGGAGTACTTTTATATCTGTAAGATTTTTTTTTTTTTGATTATAATTTAGCTTGAAGTTCTGTTATATCTATAGAAAAGAATAGAAATAGAGAAACTCTCTTTCTCTTTCTCTCTCTCTATTTTCTCTATGGTCTTATTGTTATTTAATTAAGAAAAAAACAGAGAAAACTTGTACTTGTTTATAATTAGTTCAGCACAATTGCTTTTCAATTCAAGCGTTGAGAAAAGTTTAATTTTAGAAAAGTTTAAGTATCCAGGAAAAAACTATTATTTGAATATCCAGTTTTTCGGCGCTTCTAGAAAACTTGCTCGATAGCCGCGAAAAATCACTTGTGTAACCGAAAGCGATATAGGTTCTGAAAGTAGATACTTCAGGCTATCTTTCCATGTGCTTGTCTCAGAATAGATTTTTTGTCCGAGGATCATCATTTCTGAGGGAGGAGGGGTATCCTTAAGTTGCTGAACGGGATCAGGATTTCCTTTTTCCAATTTATTGAAACTATGTTGTTTATCACAAAAATAAAATAAACAAATAAAATGTCTGTTTGCTTGCGTAGACATCAATGTACAGTAAAAATAAATAAAAACAATATCTGTTTAATAGCCTACATATCAGTGTGAAAATCGAAAATTAAAAAGTAAATATATATATTCGACAGCCTAAACACTGATATACAGAAGAAAGACAGGTAGGAAAAGTCAACAATTTACTTGTTATCGTCCTTTGGCTCATACGATAATTAATTAGATCCTTGATTGAAATGTGTAAAAAAAAAATCGTTAAGAAATTTCACTCCGGTAGCAGAGTTAACTGATCAAACTGATTTACTGAAACAGATATAAAAAATTTTCCTCAGTTTTTGTGAAAACTTCCAAGGACACGTCCGTTTGCCGAAGGAGATGGAAGTTTAAAGTTTATTTTTATAGAGAGAATCCTAGGGGAAAATGGACTTCGGAAAATGTTGGGGTTTACATAATCTTAATTTCTTGTTAAGAATAGACAAGAATGCTGATAGATAAGGTTGTAGAAATATAGTCGCGCCAGTGTTTTTGTCAGAATGCTTGCTGTTCTCAACCATTTTTCGTTTTTTTCCCCACATTTCTTATCTATGCTAAAATTTTCAATTTTTTTTTCTCTTACTTTTTTCACTATTACTTTTCTGTACTTACTCTCCGTTCTATTTCCTCTCATACTTGTGTGAAAAACTTTCTAGGACTTGTCCGTTTTCTGAAGGAAAAGAAAAATTTGAAATATAAAATTTATATACGAGGATTTTTGTGGTTGTCAGTAGTTGTAAACTTTCAGGATGAAATTGTGATTGATCAAATTTCAGTATAAATTTGGTGTTTTACAGCTACTGAATGGACAAGTAACAGACAGTGCATTATTGATCTGATGTTATTCGACACAATTTATAAAAATAATTACCATATCTCTTCATATGAACAGAAAAAAGAAGCTATTAATTAGAAGTTTCTCTCGCACTCTACTATTCTTATTTAACCTTGTTCTATTTATACATGTTCTATGTTATAATTCAACAATTCAATAGAAATTTTTACATTTTTGCTTCGTAGAAGCAATACTATCAAACTTTTTTTCCTTGTTTACAACACCAGCTGGAAATGCAATAGATTATTCATTCATTTATATCTATGTTTATAATAATAGTACGATCTTCTTTTAACTCTATTATCTTCTGAAGTATATTATTATTATTAGTATAGAATGTTAATGTCATATAAGGTTAAACATTTCATTTATCATATCAAGCACGTACTGCACATTGACTAATCCATCTGTTATAACTAAATATTGATTTTGTCAAAATCAACATCATTTATAAATATTGCAATAAAAAACAAAAACAATGTCTCAATGACATTTGTTTCTGTACCACCATATACATTTATAAATTGATTATAGTCTATTTTGTAGAGCCAAAATCTCAACATATTTATCAATTAGAAATAAAAACAACATTTATTATTATTTTTTTCTTTCTCTAGGCTTCATAGTGTCAAACATAACGAACCATATAATTTATATCATTTTAATTAGAATAAATGTACGTACTTTTATCTATTTTTGGTGGTGGTCGATATTTAATGCCCTGTTGTGACCAAAAAACGGGTATTGAACCTCGAATCATTACAAATGACATAATATGATCATCAACATTCAATATCTAAAATAGTATGTAACTATTAAAACTTTCAAATAAAGAGAAGAAAAGATAATAATTATTCGTTTTACTTGTTCAGTTTCAACATAATTGGCCACATTTCCATCAGAATCAACTCCACGACAATGCATTCGTACACCTTCAAGAAATAAAACAAAAATGTTTAGAATTTTTTTTATTTTTTTTATTTGTTTAAATAATACCTGATCTAAATCTATTTCTTCTTGATATTAGTATAATTTGTGCGTCCGTTTTTTCTTCTTGATCTGCTCGACCAACTTTACAGTGTCTTTCATCAACATATCCCATTATTATTGGCTGAATCCATGGATCAAATTCACTGTTCTAAACAAAAAAAGGTAATAAATGATGATTTAGACACAATAATGATTTATTATTGATTCGTTGTTATTAATTATTCTAATTTTAAAAAATAATCTTACGTTTTTGCAATCAATGAGTTGTTTTAACATAAGTTTATTCCAAAAAAACCGATCATCTGCTAATTTCCATAATGGCATCTCTTTTGTATTTGGAGATATTATAGATGAATATTTGTGAATTCGTTGAACGGTATTTGTCAAGTCGTATGTTTGACTGTAGTAAAAACATTGTGTTTCTTGATACAACAAACGAAGATCCTACGAAACAAAGAGAATATTAATCAAAAATATAATTGTATAAGGAAACTATTCTAAATGTCCATTCGTTTTTTGCATATAAGTTACGAAGATGACTGTTGAAACTGTTTATAGACCGTTGACTATCGGTTTTCTAGAAACTGATCTCTGGAAAATCAAGATTTTCTTCAAAAATTCTATTTTGACTTTCTGATCCGACTAGTTTGTAGCCGCTCATCAAATTATTTGTATGAAAATTTTTTTAGAACAACCAAATAAGTTTCAGTAGAGCTATAAGAAAATCACCATAAAAAATCCTGATTAAGTCAGATATTTTGCTGTATTTCAAATTATTGTTTTTCTAACTGAATTAAAATTTGTTCGGTAGTTTAAAAATGTTTCCATAGAGATAACTCTATGTGCTCTACAAACTGGTTAGATCAGAATCTCTTGATTCTCAGATTCACCGTAGGTCTCTAGAGATTTTTTCGTTCTTCTAAAATGTTAAAACTCTTCTTTTTAGATTGAACATAAAAAACTAACCATAAAAACACCTATTTGATCAATTTTGAATCGAGATGTCTATCTGATTTGGCCGACTCGAGTACACTCTTTAGAAATATCATGGGACACTTTACAAAATTATCTAATATTTTTAGTCAGAAGATAAAACAATTTTCTTTAGTTAATTCTATGCCCCCAAAGCCTGGGAACAAAAGTATACATCAATTTTTTTTTATTCTTTGTCGTTGTGGAGAAAACAAGTTTTTCTCAAAGAGTAAAAAAATTGATATTTCTACCGAAAAATGAAAATTTTGAAACAGATATCAGTCGTTTCTGATGCTGATTTCAACTATCAGATTAAAGAAAAACTACAATGATGAGGGCGGAGAAAACAGGTTTTTCTCCTTAAACACTTTTCCAAAAAAGTCATTGAATACTGCCGCTCCCAAAGAGATGAACATTTTTTTCCTCCGTATCCTGGCGAAAGACACGTGATAGATGAGGTTTTTTGCGCTGATTCAGAATATTATATTGGTGTTGGAAAAAAGTTAGTTTTCATAGAGAAAATCTCGTTTTACTGAGAGAAAATTTGAAACCATAAGAATTAGAAATACTGTTACTTTCACTATAAATACAAGTTTTTAAGACAAATATACTGGTTTAGTATTAAAACACTAAAAAAACATATTTTTTTTCTTTCAAAATATTTTCATTTGATAGAGCATAAAAAACTGTATCTACACTGATATTTTCATTTTGCATCTAGCTTCTTTATGCGGATAGCGGCAAAAACAATACAATTAATGGAATGATTTTACTATATTTTTGCATAGCATGGCACATTATAATAAACGAGAAATTCAAATTTTGAATGTCAAATTCTAATATACATACAACTTGTCATGTATGTGTTTTGTATACTGTTTGTATATTTCAACTTCATCCTAGGTTAGGTCAAGTCAGGTTATGTGAAAATTGTAATTTTTATTCTCACAATATACATACACATTTATATCTGTCTGTCTATTTCGACTTCAACGAAGGTTAGGTCAAGTCAGGCTATGTGGAAATTGTAATTCTTACTGCGAGAATAGTCCATGGCGAAGAATACTGGAATATAAACTTGTAAGATCATGTTACAAGATACCATATGAGCTAAGATTTCAGAAGAATCTTGGTTCAAGAATATCAGAAGAATACCGTGTTTTGAGAATACGTTTCGTTCCAACGTTTGGACAGGCCCAACACCTCCCCGTACACTCGAAAAAGAAAGTTGTAAACTCCATCGTTTCACAGTTTACCGAAAGCAATAAAGATGAAACTGGATTTGTACATAACCTGATCTGGCCTAACCTAGGATGAAGTAGAAATATATACATGGATAGAGAATGCATGTGCATTTGGAAGGGCAGATCTGATACTACACCAAGGAAGAGAGTTACTACGAAATCGTGGGGCGACTTTTTTTTCGATTTCCTAAAAATTGGAACGTGCCATGCACTCATATTTTGGTCTTATTATTGATTTTTCAGCTGTTTGGAAGAAAAAAAAGGGAGGGAGGCGGAGGAGAGGGCGCTACAGGCATGAAAAATCGAAAGTTGGACTTCTGAAAATCTGAGTAAGCCATTTTATTCTGCATGTCGAATAACAACCTGCAACTCGATGGGTTTTTTGGAAAAGCGTTTGAGGACGTAAACCTGTCTTCTCCGCCCTCATTCGAGGTCGTGGCATATTCGCAACCGTGGCGAACTCATTATGGATCGCTCTTTTCCGGAAAATGTTTCTGTTTTGTGTGGCATTTATCGAAGCGTAGTAAGATAACTATGTGTCTGACTATCGTCGCTATCTTGATGATTGATCTGTATGTCTGCGTGTATGCGTTTCCTTATACGTCTTGTCTGGTCGGACAGATGACATCGGTGAGATCATGTTAGGTCAGGTCACCCAAATAGTGACAAAATGTTGTCTCCTGACACACTCCACATTAACTGCTCTCTCTCCTCTCTGTCCTCTGATACTCTAAAGTACCGACGCAAACTCTGTATCTAGTAAAACTCCAAGGCCCAATCTTTGATATATATATATATTTATTGTATATATGCATAGATCTACATATATTATATTATATATTATAGAAGAGATAAGGAAAATTCACAAGTCGATTTAACCTAATCTCTCACGCACGTATACTAGCGGTTCTCTACAAAGGTAACGTTTAGTTATGTTACATAGTAAATGCACGTTCTCCATCTAGAAAACTGAATTCGCAGAGTTTATGTATTTGACATGATACGTCTTATCCTTTGTTGATGAAAATTGAAAAATGCGAGCAGAATTTCGTATTTTTTGCACTCTTTTTTAAGTAAAAATGATGTTCTCCGCAACAAAGCTATTATGATATCATCATATTTTGATCGATAACCATAAAAATGTACATACGGTCAGTTTCGATATTCGTACCTTTTACGCAAATAAACGAATGGATACTGGAAAGCTCACTAGTTCACAAAACAAACATTACCTCAATATATCTAAGTTCAATTTTCGATGATGGACGTGTCAAATTCTAAAATAAGAAAATTGTTGAAATTTAATCATTATGACATTCAACTTTACCCGAACATCTTCATCATAATCAGCAAATGGTTTGATTAAAACATCTGTAATACGATAAATTTCTTGATGTTTAATTTTTGAAACATACTCTTGTGATTTGACAAATAATAGCCAATTAATACCATCTAAAAAGAGATAATCAAGTAAATATTTGCTATTTTTGTATTAAAAATAACAGATACCTTCAATTATTTTCAATTGTCCAATATAACAGTAAACATCACTGACAAATTTTGCATTCCACGTGGAAAGTATAGAATCATCGACAGGCTCTAAATCAATATCGAAAAAATATTGTTTTGTTATTAGCAGATGTAGTCATTCATACGCTGTTTCGTATAAATCGCTTGACTTGTTATATTAAACCATAGGCTATTTTTATTTGAACATAATATCCATGAATCTTGACCACGATACAATTTCATTATATCCATACACCAATAGTTATTATTCGACATCACTTATACAAAAATAGTTCTTGAAAAAAAATTACTTTGTGATTATTTATCCAAAGTAAAGAATATTTTTTTGTATCTACTACTCATGTCTAATATTGGCATCTAAAACAAGTGTTAAAAATAATAAAGATGTAGAATGATTTTGATCTGATTCAAAGTGACTACTATTACAACTACAATCGAAATAAAACATCCTCATTAATTGAATTCGTTCTATTTACTCTTACTCACAAACTTCGGGAAGGCTTTTCGTTCGAGAACTGTATATCAGTGATTGTACCAAGAGTTATAGGAGGATCTCATCCGTTCTTTTTTCTTTCGCCTTCTATTTATTCTTTTTTAAATGGGTAGGATTTTTTATCAGATTCTGGGATATATAATTTCATGTTGAAAGCAATACAACAGCCATAAAACACCCGAAACTATTTTATAAATATTTTGTTTCTTTCTGTCAGTCGACATCGAATTACAAAACTTATGTTATCTCAGTTTGTAGCAGAGATCCTAACGAATATCTGTACATATTTGAAAAAATATTAGAACAAGTAGCCTTGAAGTTGAAGGTTAATTTTCCATTAGATGGTGGAATGTATTCAGTACATGCCTAGACAAACTGATTACGGACGTGTCGTAACAAACAACATATTGGCGGATCCAGTCATCGTACGATACGTCTGACTGCACATACCTTTTAAGTAAAATATCTATTTTTCTCAGAAGAATTTGTTTCTATGATGACTACACCTGTCTCACGGTATCAATTTTTTTGATTACTAGAAAACGATAAGAGTACAAGTCAGGTTTTTAGATTCAGTTTTCGATTCTGAATCCGAAAAACTTTGTTTCAAGTATTGAAACCAAAACGGTCATTTTTTTGAAACCTTACGGTTTTGAGTTTTTTGACAGCCATCCAGTATTTTGGGTTTCTCTCAGCGAGAAAAGGGTTTTGAGAGCCGAGGAAGCGATATTCGTAATCAACGCACAATTCTCTATTGAATGGTATGTAAAACGTCGAAAAATAAATTTCATTCAAAGTCTGCTTTCCGTGTATCTTACTTTTGATTACCAAAATTTTCAGCATGATACATATTTATTGAAATATTAACCAAATGAATAATATTTTCACAGTTTTATTTCTATCTATTTACAAATTTAAAACTATGCTAATTTTCTTGGAAGGTTCTTTTGCTTTTCGTTTGCCTAATGGTTGAATACGTGTTTTATTGCTAACTTGATACAAGTTAAATAAATTTGCTAATCTAACAGAATGCTTACATGAATATACTTTCATACCAACCGGACAGTTACATGATTCTACCGGTACAACAAGCCAACAGGATTGTTGCCACACTTGAAAATCATTGAATGTAAGCCACTGACGAGACTGCTAAATATCTAGCCAATGATACATTCAATGATTTTCTGATGTATTCAACCATTAGGCATACAAAAAGCAAAAGGGCATCTCAAGACAGTTAGCACAGCTTTAAATTTATTAATAGATATAAATAAAATTGTGAAAATATTGTTCATTTAGTTAATATTTCGATGAATATGTTTGTGTTGCACACTATGCTTTGTTTAGAAATAAAAATGTGAGATTATGCTGAAAAATTTGGTGATCAAAAGTACATTTACTCCTATCTCACACTTTAATAGTCTATCACACGTATCAAAGAAAAATTCTGAATTCGCCGCTGCACAACATCAGGCAAAATTTTGAATGAAGTATCTAAATCGATCGTCGTCTATATAATCAACATGTGAAAGACCTATAAAACGTCACAGATGTCATATTTCTATACAAAAAAACAGAAAAAATATTATCAATATTTTTAAATTCTCAATTTGATAAAATCACAAATCTATAGAAAAAAATGAACAATGCTCAAAAAAGTATACAGCAGAAGGTAATTTAAAGTAAATGGAACCAAACAAAATTCAGGTATGGACGTATGAATACGCTGAAGAATCTATATTTCATGTCTAATTATCATTTTTAGTTCAATTCACTTCAATTTTTTCCATACTATTTTTTGTAAATAAACGTTGACATTCTTTAATTACTTTAGCTATAGTTGTTTTTCATGGATCTATAGGATAAACAAAAAATTTATCGTTTTTATACACATTGATAAAGAACAATGTCTCTCATCAAGTGATGTCACGTGTTCGAAAAGTACCTGTTATTGTGTTGTATTATAAATAAATTCTATAACGATTTTGATGATAACTTTTTCCATTTTTATAACTAATTTTTCGTCAAAATACTTGCGTTACCAGACGACAGTTGACATTTTACGAATTGAAATCAAAACTTTTTAATACTAAAAACCATCAGTATGCCAATTATCATCAAAAGTTCACTTACGTAAGAAAAATATGATTGACATGTATCAAGTTTTTTTGTCTATTTTTTTTACAAACATTATTGTTTTACTACTATAACTCATAGTGAAATAGATAAATTCATTCCAAAAATGATCGCGAAATTATTTAAGATTAGTTTTTATATGAATAAACGATACGTAGTACACAATAATCATCTTTTGCGAACACGAGAAAAACATCCTTTTTGAGTGTGATCTATAAATAGAAACACTTCAATCATGTTAAGACTAAAGAAAAATTATTAACGCATTGCGTGAGTACAGCAAACATCCGAATCATCATCATTTATTTATTTTATTTCAATGATTCACTCATAGATCCATGACTCACATGCAACACAATGATTTCATTCAATATTTAGTTTTCTTTAAATGTTTTCTGTTACTGTCTATGTATACTCTATACTCTACCATTTTCAGATAAAAGAATGTCATTCTGGCATTTCACAATCAAAAGAAAATATGTGCACTTCAAAACCGCGTCTCAACTGTATACCTTAAGAATATATCTTTTCTTCGTTCAAAAGCGGTAGTTTATACAAAACAAGGCCAACTTGTTAACGTTAAGACGTCGAGACTCGCAGTGAGGACTAAAATTTGCACAACAGACTAATTTTATGATGATATAAACTGAAAATTTCAGTTGTCCTTTTTTTTTCTTTTATAAATAAGCAGTTTTCGAACAGACAGATATGTATTTTTCAGAAGGTTTGATTTCTATAGTTTGATTTAGATAAAATCAAAAAGAAAAAAACAAAATCTAATTAATCGCGAGATTTAGAACTCGAACAGTAATCAGAGTTCTTCAGTGACAATAGAAGAACAAGCTTTTATCTAACAGAGGGTCGTATTACGAAAAAAAAGTCTACTTTAAGTCAAAGTTTGGGCTTAAGTCTCTGGACTTAAGTTTTATCGCATTACAAAAGAACTTAAGTCATGGAAAATGTAGTCTTTGAAGTTAAGACCGAAAACTTAAGCCATTGACGTATTTTTCAAATAGCTCAGCCATTTAACGATACGATTCGACGAAAACGACTTGTTAAGGTTTAAAGAATAAATATTTCGTTATTTCAAAAAATCTATAGCTCAACTGGAATGTAAACTCGATTTTTTTAAATAAAATTCGTTAGCGAAAAAATGATGATGTGCACGGAAAGTTTTGAACATACCAAGCAAAAGAGCGTAAGTAAGCAGTTCGAATGTGTAAATTGCGTTCAAAAGTTTAATGTTTTAAAAATGCTGAAGCGTGTTTATTACTCAATTTCTGGTGGCTGATATGTTATGTTCTATATCATCCTTGCACTATAAGTGCCACATTAACTAGCTTTGGCAGTTTTAAACTAAGACTCTACTGTAAGGAAACTATATTTCAATTGGGGTATACAAACAAGCAGATACCCCGATTGGGCTATAATATCCCGATCGGGACACATTTTTATATCCCAGTTGGGATAAACAGCTCGATCAGGATATGGTCCCTCACTGTCAGACTTAAGTCGATCTTAAATTTCGACTTAAGTCAATGACTTAAGTTTTTGCGTAATACGACCCCCAGACTATTATTTTAACAAGGTGAAGCCGTAAAGAGAAAAGAATTGTAAAAAATCTCTTGCATTCGAAAGGCTAGTCTTCAATTTAAAAATTTGATGCCTATTTTGGAGTGTGCTGTTTACTCCTTTTAGATAAAACGCTAATCTCTTGTCAACAAAATTTTTTTGATTTTCCTTCGACATCTCCTTATTTGTATGAAAAACTCTTGTTTTGTTTAAAGATGTTGGACTAGAATAGTAAAAATTATCTGGATCAAATATTTCTTTGATCACTCAAACAAAAACTATTCCTGGCTTTTGAGCACTGCACATTACGACTTTTTTGCAACCTATAACCTAACCTATAAAAACTTTCATAACCTCAACCTAACTAATCTAATTTAACTTGTGCGATTTTTTAAAGAACAAGCCAACCAAAAAAAGAAAAAGTCATATTTTTTTTTAAAATTACGTAAAAGCAAACGATTGTTCGTCCACAACATCACCATTTAAAGATTGTCTTCTTTGTTCTAATACACGATCGCTTGCGTGGAATAGACGCTCGGATATTGGTTGTGTTATTGTTGTATATTCTTTATCTTTTAATGAACATAGAATTTCTTTTCTTTTTTTTCTCTTCTATTTCCTTTTAGGATTATGTGTCATCTTTCACTCTCATTAGAGTTCAATGTAGATTTAAATTAGAAAAAACACAACTCAGAATTATATCAAAGATTATCCTAAGCGATAGAAGAAGTGCAGAGGGAGAGAAGAAGACTGAACTTATGCCTGATTTGTGTCACTGGTCAGTTAGTTGGTCCAATAAAATTACACTTTATCCTTCAAGTATTGAGTAGTATAGTGTGTCGCTCAAAATTATTTTCTTGTTTAGGTTAACAATCGGTTATCAATATAACCTATAACCTTACCTAATCGATAAATTTGCAATCTAAATCTAACCTACAGGATTCGATCTAGCTCCTACAAATATGCGTTACTATGCAAATAAAATGATTTTTCAAATTTGAATTTTTATTTGAAAAATAACAAAAAAAAAAAAGGTTACAAATAGGTTAGAATACTAAAAGAATACTAAATACACATAGTTTTTATTAAAAATACGGTCTATAAAATTCTAATGTTGTCATGTCATCTTGACATTTTAACACAACATATTCATGTTGAGTTAATTTTAAAATCTTCATATAATTTGGATCAATATTATTTTCAATTTGTTCCATTTCATTTCGATCTTCATTATACAAAAAATAATGATGATCACTTTTCATTAACCATTGTTGTTGATGTAACAATTTCATTTCAAAACATATTGGAAATTTATCATTTGAAATACAATGTAGACGGGACATTGTATATAAATCAAAAAAATCAATTTCACATTTATAATTTGATGATACATCAAGAATATTCATGACAAGTGAATTTGGAGAATATAAATAAACATCAAGAATAATATTTTTTGTATTCATTGACCATTGTTTGAGTAGATAAAATGGACGATGAGATATTGACCAATGTTGAATATATTCACCATCGTTAAGATTAAGTAATAAAGTTGAATTACAATTTGTCATATAAGACATACCTAGAATAAATAATGATTTATTATACGATATTCAACATTATTATTGTTTTCATCATCTCAAAATCCGCTTCTTCGAGGCCTCTTGCATCGCGATTCTACTGTACGGAAGTGAAACATGGGTTCTCACACAGCAGCAAAGAAAAGAAATCGACAGCTTTGCCACTAACTGCTATAGAATCATGTTACGCATAAAACGAATCGAGCATGTGTCAAACAAGATGCTGTACAACCGCGTCAATCAGCTCCCATTATCCATCAAAATGGCCAAAAGACAGTTAACATGGGTTGGTCACATACTCAGACGCGACAAAGAAGAGCCAATTCGAAAATACGCTCTGTACCAACCAAATCAACAGCTAGGAAAACCAAAGCTAGGGCGACCAAAACTGAGCTTCGTTAAAAGTATCGCCCAACTGATATGCAGCACACATTTGATGACAGAAGCTGACATAGAGAAGACTGCGCAAAATCGCGAAAAGTGGAGAAAGCTAGTGATCGACTGCACATGCTATGACGCCCTTGCAGTTGTCTGATGATGATGATGATGATGATCATTGAAATTACCTCTATTCTTAGAAATTGATTTAATTTTTATTAATTTTAACGTTTCACAATCGAATGTAAATAAAGATTGTGATGTTAAAATTAAAAATTTCTGTAAATAAGATGCCCATTCAATTTGTCTAACATATCCTTGTGGAGTAAGACAATGACAATCAATGGAAAATATGACATCATGTTTGTTTTTATCATAGAATTTTAATTGTGAATTATCAGCAAGTAAAACTTGATCCAATGATGGTGTAAGATCAATTGCACATGATTGAATGAGATTCGTTCTTAAAGGATATTGTTTAACACAAATATAAGAAGAAAATATGTCTTCAATATCATCAACACAAGATTCTTTTTGTTGAACTAATTCAATTATACCTAAAAGTTGTTAAGATGAATATGTTCAGGTTAAAAATAACAAAAGTGTACAAAATTTTGTGCACAAACGACGATGTCTCATTTATTTTATACAGCTCATCAAGTTGTATCGATTTCTCTAATCAGGAGACCTCGTGAACTGTCACATCATTTTTTCAGCCAAACCTAGTGGGTTATAGGTTATCAACTATGCTGAATTCGAATATCGTAGTGGTAGCTGCTCAGGAGCCTTCAGAGAGCGGTTTTCTGGAAAACCAGTTTTCAGAAACTCTAAAAAGTAACCAAAACCTTTCTTAATGAGACATAATTCTAGCTCGAAAATTTCTAATATCCCAGCTCTACACAATCTTTCTTGGTAAAGTTATAGAATTTATAAGAAAAGCCTTAAATGTTCATTGTCAGTTCAAAGCTACAGAAATAAGAAATTAATTTAGGGCTTTTCTTCTAAATTCTCTAACTTTGCAAAGAAAGGTCGTGTAGAGCTGGGAGATGTCTCATTTTAAACAAAAATTTGCGGACTACAATTATGTCCCATTAAGAAAGGTTTTGGTTACTTTTTAGAGTTTTTGAAAAACTGGTTTTACAGAAAACCGCTCTCTGAAGGCTCCTGGGTAGTTATCACTATGATATTCGGATTCAGCATAGTTGATGACCTGTAATCCACTGGATTTGGCTGGAAAAGCGATATGACAATTCGCGAGGTCCTCTCGTAAGAAGAGAATTATAGCATCATTGTTAATACGTCTAGCAACAGAGAAGGACGAGTTCGTATCACATTTTTCCATGATTCAGACTAATATTCGAATGCGAGACATAGATTCAGTAAATTTGATAAACTAACTCAAGTTACTTTCAAATTAGTCATGTGAAACTTTCCAATTATTATGAAAGTGTTTCCTATATTTTATTATATACAAGAAAAGACAGATAGAGAGAGTGAGAAATTTGAGAATAATAATACGTTTTTATTTATGCATGAAATAGTTGTGTTCCGGTGTAGAAAAAAAAGATAATGAACAAGATAACACGTAGCAAACGTGCAATAGAACAAGTATAGAAATTAGAAACTGATCTTCGAGAAATCAGTTGTGAAAATTTTCCTTTTAGAAAATGATTCGCGTCAATTTTTTATACAATTCGGACTCGAAAAAGATGAAGATTCGTCCAGCTCTGCATAGCAATAGCACTGCATTTACTCTCCTACTAAACAGGAGAGTGATATTCTCGACATTTTCTATTTGTTTTTATATGTACTTCAACTTGTTTTCATCGTAAAATAGAAGCCTTCCCAAATCAACTCGATTTTGTATCTGAAAGATTAGCAAAAAAAAGAATCGTTCAGACTGAATCTTCTATTCTAGGAAGGGAGTTCTAGGAGAGGAGTTTTACTTGTTTCTCCTTCCAAAAAAAGCAAACGTTGATTTGATATGAACAGATCAGATACCAGAAGATCATCTCGGTCAGAGATGGGCGAGTCACCACTTTTTCGAATCCGAGTCAGTAGCCTTCGAGTCGGGGTCTGAGTCCAAGTCGCATCAAAAATTGACTCGAGCCACCTCGAGTCATTTTCTACAGGAAAACTTCCTCCTGACTGATTTTTCCAAGTACAGTTCTTCAATCCTCTCCTGTAATGCGATGTTCTACTTAGAATATTCTCAAATCTCTCTCTCTCTCTCTTCTGGTACATAACAAATATAATAAACACCGTCATAACAATCCCAGGTTGCACATGGCTGACTCGTAAGTGACTCGAGTCAGTTTATCAAGTTTATCGAGTCTTTCACCTCGAGCCCGAGTCCGAGTCAAAGACAAATACGACTCGAACTCGCTCATCTCTGATCTCGACTATATTTTTTCAGATAGTTTTACTGATTTCTACTCAACGTCATCCTTGGATGTGTGTCAGACATTTTATTTTCCATTTGTCGTCAAAAATCAAAATACTCTTACCTGAGGCATGATCTCTCATTAATTTAATTCTTTGTCGTAACAATTTTATTTCCTCTAATTTTCCATTTAATTTTTGTAAATACTTTAGTGCATCATTCAATTCTATCTGATAACAATAATCAATTGAATATAATTTTTCTTCAATATATTTTTTATAATCTTCTCTCAGATTTTCTAAATCATTTATAATATTTTCATAAGTTCTATCAATATCTTGTGAAATTTTATCATGTATTACATTAATTTTTTCCACATGTTGACATGAATTCATTTTACGTATTTTCCATTCATCAATTTTTTTATGTAAATGTTGTTGACGTTTACAAATATAATAAATTTCATCATTAAGTAATTGTTTAAATTTATTTACATCATATTTAAATTTTTCAACTATTTGTTGTTGATGTTCAATAAGATGTTCAAAACAGAAACAAAAATTATGTGGACATTGACGATAAGATGTTTTTAAACAGAGAGAACATTGTGGTAATAAATGTTGATCATTTTCATTACGAACAATTAATGGACAACGAGAACTAACGCTATGTAATATACCCATGCCAAAAAATGAACTTGTTAGAAAAATATAATCTATAAATCAATATACAAAAGTATTAGAAAAATTTTAATCTATTTTTTTATCGTATAATGAGTAAAACTGACCAAGTTAGAGACTTGCTTCCCCCCCTTGCTTTTTATTGTTTAGACTGCATTTTATTCTAGTCTTACATCAAAGAGCAACAAAATATGTTGTTAAGAATAAACTAGTAATTCCCTATATTATTCTAGCACTAGAAATTGTATTTTATCGAGCTGTCACCACGCTGGGCACTAATCGGACTTCCACTAACACAATTATAGTTTAGGAATAAAGATCACTGTTTTTCGCTAATAAGAATCTCCAATACCAATCAAGTTTCAGTATGAGACATGCATGTCTCATACAAACGAGAGTGAACATGTTCACTCTCGTTTCTTCTATCTGTTCTAAACGTTAAACAGTGATCTTCATAAGCAGCATCCAATTAGAATTAGTGTATTCCTACATTACACCTTCGCTAATGGTCTCTCATCTACAGTGAATGAAACTTTTATTATTTTCATCTGTTTTTGATAAATAGCGAACATCGATCATATTAAATGGTATTCTGCAAAAGAATTGTCACTTCTCTACCCCAAAGTCTTCTCAAGTTATGGAAATACGTGAATCAAAATGAACCTTACAACTATTTATAAATCTTTTCTTAGCTAACGGAATAAAAATGTCAGAATGAATTTAAATCTTACATCTATGAGTTAACATTTCCATATTTTTGCCTTTAAACTTCTTTTAATCGGCTTTAGAGTTCAAAAATTTGATATGGCCTCAAAACAACCTTTATAAAAACTCTATTTCTAGAAACACTCAGGATCTAATCGAAAAATCTACTCTTGTTAGTCAATGCAATTTTTTTCTCTCCTTAATAGAAAAAATCTATCACTTCAAGATCAAACATAATGTATACTTTTGTCAAATACTAACAATCTTTAAGGAAAGAAATAAATGTGTTTTCATTAAGTACAGCAACTTTAGTCTATGATCAGAATTTTTCAATAGAACAGCTTACTCATTTATCACAAAAATGGAAACGATTTAGTTCAGCTATAAGGAGTTCTCGAAAACTATGAGTTTTTAGAGTTTGGAGAAAACCTAATGAACAAGATCTTTGATGTGCAAATCGACATATAGAACTACTCAAATATATGTTTAGCTTACTTATCGAAGTTTTAGCTGGATCACGGCTCGGAAAGGACCATTCACAGACCTATTTGAATCATGATCCATACCACAATTTGGTTTTACTAAGAAAACCTGATTTAATATTTCGAACAAGGATTTGACTTCATATTAACCAGATTTCTTTATAACGGCTGCTAGTTGGGATTTAAATCGTCAGCTTTGATCATCAATATCTTCAATATACAATTTCAACAAATATATCAGAATTTTTTAATGACTAACAACGGTATCTGTCTTTCTCAATGCCACCATTAATATATCACAATTTCAACGTTCGATGAACTTAACATTGAAATATCAACCATCAGCATCTTTAATAAAGTATTATCCTTAGCCATATTTAACTTGTTTGAATGGTATCTGCCTAAATTTTCTAAAAACAGACAAAATGCGAAAATTATTACGAGAAAAGATACCACATTCGTTGTCTTATAAACTAAACAACGATAGAAACTAGACAAAGTGTATATTGACCCTCATAATTGATGTTGATGAAGAGGGGTGCCAGAAGCGTAGAGAAGAGGAAAAATTCAATTGTTGAGTATCCTAGAGCACTATTAGTTGTGAAACTAACTGTTGTGAAACAAAAAAAATGATTATTCTATGCTGTTTACGAGTTTGGAAAAATTATAGAAAATTTTGGTTAGAAGGTCAGATTAGAAAGTCACTCCTAATAGAAGACTATTCTAAAAAGTTTGACCCGCTGGGACACAGTAGAAGGCCATGCTCTTCTATTATAGGAGGGGATTTACCGTATTATCTATGTAAAAAAAGAATGCACTTGGTTATTTTTTGAATAACTTTTCAATAATGAGAGCCATTCGATAGAAAAGATCCAGACGCATCGTTTAGTAAAAAAGAAAATTTCAAAGATCTTTTCCTTCTTTAGACGATCTTTGGAAAAGCGTGTTCTACTGAAAAAAGTCAGGATACGAATATTTGGATGTTTTTTCATAGTTAGATAGTCGTATAACCATGAAAAAACATCAAAATATTCTTATCCTGACTTTTTTCAGTAGAACACGCTTTTCCAAAGATCGTCTAAAGAAGGAAAAGATCTTTGAAATTTTCTTTTTTACTAAACGATGCGTCTGGATCTTTTCTATCGAATGGCTCTCATTATTGAAAAGTTATTCAAAAAATAACCGAATGCATTCTTTTTTTTTAATGGATAATAAGAGGTATTAAAATGTGAGACAACAGAAAATAGTCCTAACTCATTCGTTGTTTTTCCTTTACTAAAGTCTTTCCAAATCCCAAATGAGAACAAAAGTAAAAACGTACACACTAAAGCTATATAGAAAAGCAAAAAACAACAGCAATTCTCGTTCACGTACTTCCTTGATACAGATTTCAATACCAAATAATAACAACTCATGTTATAATCGACTCAGTATCATGACATCAAGCTTGACGCTAAATGATCATTGTTACTACGATGATCGAACGATGGCATACTTATTTGAGATGATTGTATAAACTTATTCATTCTGGGTATTCTAGTAATCTCTAAAATATGTAAGAGTGTGTTCGACTACTCTTTGATTATCATCGAATACGGACAAAAAACATTGATTATGATCTGATCATTTATCGCCTGCATTTTTTTCTGTCGTCATAGACACAAGTTCATGAGAAATCATTTCTTCTGCAACATTGTTTGATGGCATCAATCAAAGCATTAATACGAACATCTGTGTACACATACATTGTTCATCAGACAATTTTTTGGAAATTAATTCTGAATTAGTTGCTGTTGTAAATGAATAGATAAAAAAGAAAGAAGTCATCATTTTTTATAGTTTTCACTAGTGTAAAAAGAAGATGATGAACACGTAATTGGATTTTATTTGCATCTAGAAAAAACAAAAGTAAACAGGATAAAGTCTAAGATGAAACATACTTTTGTTACTTCCTCTAATCAATTCTAACCACTTAGTTGTACTTTTAAATCTCTTGAAATCGTAAGTATCTAATTAAAGTCAACATGTCAGTAATCACTTGAAAGTGTCGAATAGAAGCTACCGGTATAAATTTAACATGAATATCGATCATCTCGTATAATAATTAACGCAAATGAGATAATAATTGACATTTAAAAATGAATTTAGAAAACAACTAACCGTATTCAAATCACATTGAACAATTTCTGATTATTCGAGCAACGAACTTTTATTTTCTTTCCTTTCGTTTATGGGCCTAGCTGAAATGAATAGATTATAATAACAAGTAACAAGAAAAGCAAGTGATTTCTGACGTCTCGAGTAAAAGAAATGTAAACAATCAGTGAAAAACAAACACATCATACATACTTACATAAATATCTACACAATCTATTCATAGACTACTGTTTAACGAAAAAGTGTCGAGATTAGTAAATTTATCATAGAATTAGTCGATTATTCCACTCTCGAGACGTTCGAACTAAAAAGGTTTCTGAGAACAACACTGGAGTTTTGCAAAATGTAATAAAAATTTACTGAGCATACCTCTATACATAGATGTTCGATGAGCCGATCTTCGTACAAAAGAAAATACAATATGACTTTTTACAACTTTTCAAAAATATTTCAACTTGAGAATGTTTCTTCTTATAGACAAATTCTATAATCCAATATTATTATGTACGTAATATACAAATGTTTTTTTAAGTTTTGATGACTCATTTTTATATGTAGATCGTCCCCAACATTTTTCGACAATGGAGAGCAGCTTTTTCAAGATGGCGAGTTCACTTAAGGTTATGAGAAATACATAGTCTCGGCAATTTATCTTTAGTAACTCGAGCAAGTGCCTTATTTGTAAATGTTTAAAGTTACTGAAGATAGATAAATTATGGACCGATAGAGAATGATTCTGCTGCACTTATCTACGTTCAACTGTTTGAGGTTAAGATCGTACCACTTCTGAATTTTATCTATCATCATCCTAACGTGATCTAACTGATCAACAGTGACAAACGGAATAGTATAAAAAAAATCATTCACTTCGTTTCTGATCTAAAAAAATTTCAAATACAAAAATTAAATATCAATCGCTTTAACATTAGAATTTATAACAGTAGAACACTATCTCATGCGAATTGATAAAACTATTCATTGTCATTGTTATTGTTATTGTTGTCTAACACTGGACGTATCTCTTGAAAGACGGTTTCAAACAGAAACAGTATACTTAATAAATTTGTTTTTCTACAATCATCATTTCAGTTACAGAAAAGCCCAAGCTTTGAAAAACTGAACTGATCTTTACTATGTACTCAGTCTCTAAGATTGCTCTACAGTAACTTTTTTCTCATGTAGATTAAGAATCCATTCACCAAACGTCACGAAAATATTAAAAATTGAAGTTCAAACAGAGCCAAGTTTAAAAGTTAATACATTTGCTTTTTCTCTATACACATCAGAATGACAATTAGTAAGAAACTGGGTGACTGAAGACTAAATCATCAAATTTTATGCTTCAGTCCCGCCCGATTCATCGATACGTTAATTGATTTTCCGATTTCGTCGACATTTTATAATGTCGGCGTCTCACTAATATCTTGCATCTTCCTCTAATGTGGTCGACGAGTCAGGAAAAACATTAATTCGTTGACGAATTGGGACGATATCAGTTTTAGTTTTCTGGTGACGCTCGACATACATATTCTTAACTTAGTTGAGAAAAAAAATATGCAGAAAGATCAAGCCCAAGTTCTGTAACGGAAAAAATGATTTTATCAAAATATTTATTAAATTTGTGTTTAAAAATCAAAATGACTAAGGTTTAAAAGTAAAAACAAAACATTGATCTTAAAAGAAAAAATCTATTCAACAAAAACAATAATTTCTTTCATAAAAGAGATAAAAAATAGACTTAAAAATGATGAATGAGACTAGTACAAAAAAAATAATGGATTACATTGTTTTATGATGATTTTTGTTTTTGTTCCTGTTTTGAATGTTTGTTAAGTCTAATAATACAATATAAATAGTGAATCATTTCTCGTTCAAATCGATATGTCATATAGGTCATATATAAAAATGCACCTGCTCCTATAGAAAAGTGTATTAGGAAACGACCTTTGGCCAAATAAAAATAATGTTCACTCCATATACAGAGTACGAATGATATAATTAATTGTAGGGAATACATTGAACTGAACTTGAATGCTTTCCATGTATTTAACGTTGGAAAATGAAAAAAATACTGTCGAATATAATGTGTGTTTGTTACAATTCGAATAAACATGTTCAAACAATTGGAGAGAACAATACCATAGATACCGTACCATCGTGTAAATAGGTAAAATGCTAAAATAAACAAAAACAAAACATGTTCAGATTACGAGAAAAGTTATTACTTTGGTATTAACTATATGCATATGTTCGAAAATAACTTGTATTTTTGTAAAACTAGTTCTACATCAGACATAACATTGCTATTATTATATTCTTGTCCCTTTGATAAAATGTTGTAAATATGAATTTATTTTTATTTTCTTCTCTGAATTCAAATTGTAGAAAAATATATCCATTTGATTGATGACAGATTTGACGATCAAAAATATATTGGAAACAAATGAGATAATCAGTTCGAAAAATAACTGTCACAAATCATTTTAGACAACTTTAATAGTAAAAATTTGGAAGTGATTATACACGCTAAACAACGATTCTTATCTCAATCACGTCGAAGTCGCGTTATCAAAACAATTTTTTCAAATAAGTTCGAGGTTATATAACAATCGTGCTTTTGTCTTACAGCCATAATAATAAAAAAACACAGCGAGACTCCTGTAACAAATCTTCATTTACTGTTTTTTTTTCCTAGACTCCAAACATATAATCACTACTGATTTTTGAAAAATTCATCTTTACCCTCAAGACGTTTTCTTCTTCATTTCCTTGCCTGAGGGATTTTAAATAAACCGTTTCTATAAACAAAACGATGAATTCAGAGGATTTTTATTGAATATATTATTATTGAATCTACTCAGCTTATCATGATCTATATATATTTCAAGCATTTTAACTGTATTTTGAACGATAGCTAAGTAAGGTGTATGATTCTCATAACTCATATTCACTACAACTTCTCACTTTGATTTGAACAGTAAACATCGTCAAAAAATTCAGAACAATCGATAATATATGTGTCCATTAGTTCTCGAAAACAAAAGATAGACACAACGAAAATAATTTTTCGTGGGACCATTCCATCCATGGGGGCTTTAAACAGGAACTCTTTTTGGAAACAATGATTATGTCACTATTGAGTATGAGCAGTTAAATGAGAGAAAAAGTAAAAGAGACAATGAACATGTTCGAAAGAAAAGCATCGTCTATATAAGTTCTTTCCTGTTTTTGAGCTGGTTAGTTGCAGTCATTAATTATATGAGGAAAAAAATATATAAAACAAAAAATCGACTAAAATCTCTTCGGCAGGTGATTCTAAATCAGTGTCAGCGACACATCATTGACTTTGGAGGACAAACATGCAGAAGAAATATCGAAAACGGTAAAATTAGTTCGCGTATCTGCCATGATAGGATTCGAAGGTGACGAACAATCAAAACAAAGAAATATGTCGACAACTCTTGAAACTCTTCATAAGATATTGAAGAAAAAGTATTGTAGCTTGATAAGTGGTGTAAAAAATTTTGATCATGTTATACTTTAGAATTTCTTACGTTTGACTAGTGTGAGTAAAGCTGTCTGCTCGATATCTGACTATAGTGTACATACCTGTTAAATAAATAAGCGTGAAGCCTGTCATCAACCGTTTGTAATAATTTAATTGTTTCAATGACATTGTTGCTTGCGAAAATGCTTCAGTAATACCATTAATAGCTAAGAATAGAATATATAAACAATATAAACGCATCAATGTTGGACCCGGTTCTGCAAGCAATGTTTGACCACCATACAACTGTAGGAGTAGACTTGAGTAAGGTACACCAAATATAAGAACAATCAATGATATAACAGTGACAAAACGTAACAAATATGTATAAAATTGAAAAGCATTCAAGATAACAGTACGATTTTCTAAATAGAAAGAAGAAAACAAATCGAAAGAATTCGCTTCCAAATGCATTTCTGTATTGCAGTAATATAGTAAACAAGTTTATCAGATGTGTACAACTTTCTCATTACAAAGATCGTTCTTTATACTTCTATTCCGACGTCAACTTTCATCTCAGATCAAGTTAAACTTAATCCATGGAAATGAAACAAATCATTTCTTCGTCCTCTCGATTCAAACGAAAGAAGTTACAGTCATGTCCACTTATTAAACAGAAATTTTCCAAAGCATTTTAACAATATTTAAATGCAATTTGCAATATGAAGTTTAGAATTCCAAACAACTTTTGTACAAGAAATTATTAACTTCTGTTCATAATACATCGATGATTCATTTTAACGAGAAAACGTATAACAAACTGAAACCAACTTATACTATAGTAATCTACTGTGGAAGCTCGATTTGTAATAAGTACTAGGCTTATGAGATTGACTGAAACTTCTCTTCATGAATAAAAACAAATGAATTTTGTTGAATCAGTCAAAACAAATGTTCTGCGCGCAACTTCAACCACTTCACTTTTGCTTGTTTTGATCAGTACATACCTGTCTGTGATATCATCGGTTCCTGTTCTGGCGTTTGTTCTCTTGATAATTCTTGTTCACTACTATCACCTTCATCACCACTTTTCGCTTCTTCTTTTCCTTGTTGTGGCTCTTGGGCTCTATTTCTTGATAATGTTTGTTTAAAATATGTATAAGCGCTGTCTTCTAATGTTGAGAAAATAAGCCGCGGTATAAGTGAACCCAAATTATTTATAACATCAAAAATGCCTTGTTGAGAATAAGTAAGTAATTCTGTCCATGTCATTATATATCGTTCACCTTCAGTAAGTAATTTCATCCAAATACCTTGTTTGAAAAATGTCCACGTTTCAGACAACAAATTGTGATCGAGAAATGGCCGTGTGAAGATGATCATAAGTTGCTTTGGATGAGAAATGAGAAAATATTTTCGAGCTAATGAACGTGACTTGTGTTGTACATAGAAAAAATAGAGATAGTATGAGAGGGTGATGATTGACGAGTACAAAATATAACCGAGACCATAGTAATAGAGAGCTGATTCGCTATGACAACAGATTAAAATGGCTTGAATTGAAAAACCTAGAATAATGATGAACAAAACAGTCGATCTTTGGACTTGATGTAGTCAGAGAATGTAAGATCTTACCAATAGTAGACGCTATCATTTCGATATAAATATTAATTGTATACTGTCTAGCCACTGTTGACAGCAAATGTAGTGGCTCTGACAGTAATTCAATGAATGCTGCCAGAGCATACATGTAACATGCTTGCGAGTAATAATTAGCATTTTCAGCATCAGCTGTATGAAAATAGAGTGTCAACGGGAGTGCAATGAGGATAATTAGAGAACCGGTTGGAATAATGAGCCAAATTAGATTAATATAACAATGAAGAGCTGAAAGTGATTGAATTCTTGGTACTGATCGACGAAATGATTCACGTGATAAAAATAAAATGGTGGTGTATAACAATTGTAAACGAACATTGGCAATGCCAATAATTGTACGTGTAACATAACGAAGAACAAAACCGTTGAGAAAAAAATGTAATAGACGAAATACAACTTTACAGACAATGTTTAACAGAGTACGAGAACCAATAGCAGCTAATAATAAGTGACTATCACTCTCTAATGAGGACATTTTTATCTAAAAGTAAACACGTACAAATAATGGTTATAGTGAGAGCCAATGGAACTAGATTCAAATTCGAAGCACAATATCATTTCGAGACAAGTGTGTAAAGAAAATAGTCAGTAAGAATTAAAACACGACCGGTTTTCCTGATTTGTCGCAAACATGATTCAAAAACAGTTTTCATGAATAGGAAGATTCTATGCTTATTACATTACTAGTCTGTACTGACATGATCACTGACGCAAAGAACATATCATAAAAAATTAACTTATATATCCTGGTATCTTTTAGAAGCTCCTCGTTTACCCTGTAGATATTCTGCAAAAGACACAAAGGTGTTTATACTGAAAAACAAAACAGAATTTTCTTATGACCGTATAGGAATGTCGCGCTCTTACTGATAACGTTTCAGCCCAGGATTGCCAGAAGTGGTGAATCAGGGTCAATAAATCTTTTAGAGTAGTGCATACACAAACGTGCTTTCCTTAATAGTTTTTATCCGTATTAACACACTTTTTCCTTTGTTTAAACTGTACATCAAAATTTTCGATCAAGGATTGCTCTTTCTTTATTTGGAACTTCAGACAGATACTCTGCTGCGAAATATAATTCTTCATAGGGCAATAACTACTTATTGTCCCAGACATTTTTTTCCAGGAGGAGCAATTACCTCCAATTGTCCTGGTGGCGGCCCGTCGGTAAAAGTATGGCATTATAAGTTGTTTTGGTTTGACATAAAGTCGTCAAACCATGATTTTATTTTCTACAGCCGTTGCATTATAACGCTTTTATCGTCATTGCATCACTTTATTGAGTATAGAATTCTAGCACAATATGATAGTACACTTTGCTACGATAGTTTGATGCTATTTCTTTTGTAAACCTCCTCTCAATAGTTTCTGAACGAAGGAAAAGTGCCGGTTTTATGCTCAAACTCTTAGGATTTTTGATCATTTTCTACCCCTTGTAATTATCTTATATTTATAACAGAGAATAACAGAGCTACTTTCTACATGAAAAGACGTAGAAAGTAACTCCTGACGGCTACCTTTGATGGCTAGCGGGTAACAAGCTTTGTCTCATCGATTTTGGACAGATATCTATGATCGCAATTACCAATTCGACAGAACGCATGTTCAACCATTATTTGGAAACAGAACTCTATGTCAAACGTTGGTTTTAAGAAGTACAATTTACACAAGTGGAAAGCATTTTTTATGTACATGTGGTCACCGATTAAGGGAATCCAACCACCTAAGGGACATAGCAGAATTCCTCATAGAGGTTCATGTACGACGGCAAAGGGAGAGAATGATCGGAAGAAGAGACCCACCAGAAGCTAGCCAAAAAAGTTTTTTAGAGCAATCAAATTCTGGCCAACCGAAAGAGAGTCTACCTGTTAAATACCTGTTTCCTCTGCATAGCAACAAGAATTTGGTATGCAGACTGTTGTCGAAATGCGTCTACTATAGTGTACACTGATGCAATGAAAATAATTTTACTTGGATGAAAGTCATTGGATGAATATCCGAAATGAGAGAGAAAATTAAATATCATTAAATAAAATTATTTTTCATTGCATCAGTGTCACTATAGTGGATGCAGTTCGAGGACATTCCATATAGCAATTAAAACAGCAATATTTTCGTTAAAACTTCACCACAAATACGAGAACTTGAAGCCAAATAAGCACTTAGAATGGAATTGAACGAATAGACCGGCTGAATAATCATTTTACGGCGAAAGATGCTTGACTCAAGCAAAACAACCCTTCTGCCACGTTAAGCTTTTTAAGTTTATACTTTTTCTCGTAATACGTTCGACTTTTTCATTTTATTAGAACTTTTCTGATTTTCATTACAGATTAAATCATTTAAGGAAAATTTGAGCTTGTTCCTGATGTTCTTTCGAAGTTTTCATGATTTGATTTCTCTTGTCTGATTTTCTTAATAATTTGCTTTTCATTTCATGTAGCTTCTGTAATTAGATCAAGTGCAATTATTTGTCGAAAATACTTAACATTGTCTTTTGTAATTGGCGGATATTTTGTATTAGTGAAAATCTCTCGAGCAGCTATCGCGACATGAACTCCACAGCTATGCTGATCATCTTAGCATTATCGATGACTCGCATAATTTCTTTAGTTAGTCTGGTTGCTAAAGAAAATGAAATATGCCAAGATTTAGCATTATTCATGACTCCCATAGTTTCTTCAGTGAGTTTCATTCGTAAAGAAACTGAAATATGCCAAGATTTACAACTAAGACTAACTAAGACTGTTTTATTCAAGAAAAGTGTGAGTCATCAAAGGTCACCGACCTGTAATAAGAATGACTCAAGCCAAGCAACATCAAAAGAGTAAAAAAAGAACAGAATAAACAAGACAACTAACGTTAGGACCAGAAGTAGTAAAAATGAAAAAAAAGAAAGTAAAAAAGTTTTTTTTAAAAGACAATAGAAAAAAAAAAGAAAGTAAAAAAGTTTTTTTTAAAAGACAATAGAAAAAAAAAAGAACAATTATATTCATAACTGACATGTTCCACTGGAAGAGATACTGAAGTAAAGCTGTTTTGAAAGACGTTAAAGAAGAAAGACAAATAACTGATTCTGGGAGATTATTCCAATCAACAATAGGTGAATAAAAAAAGAAGCATGCACCGTTTGCGGAGAAAAACTATCAACAGAAGATGGAATGCGAACATATTCAGAGTGATGAAGACGTAAAGATGAGTAGCGAGGACGATGAATAGTATAAAAAAAGAGAAACAGGACTTAGACGATGATAAATTTTGAAAAACTGTAGAAGTCTAAAGTATTTACGACGAAGAGAGAGTTTAGGAAGAGAAAGTTGAGATACAAGTAGGGAACTAGAAGAACGATAGTCAAAATTGCGAGAAATAATACGAGAAGCAAGTTTGTTTACAGAATCAAGAATAGTAAGAGAAAACGAACTATCATACAAGGCACAGCAATAGTCAATTTTAGGAAGAATAGAAGAAAGATAGATTTGGCGCCGAACTTCAGTTGGAGCTAATCCAAAGACACGATTCGATGCTCCATAGACGAAAAATAACATAGAAACGCCAAAAATGAGAAACTAAATTAACGAAATATGACTTCTTTCTTCGATATCTTGAAAACATTTTTCTCAAGCCCGAGCCAAGCCCGACTTTCCAAGCCCGAGCCCAAGCCAAGCCCAAGCCACCATCCAAGCTCGGCCTTGCCAAGTTCAGTCGCTTGGGCTTGTAACATCCCTATAAGAGATCATTCTGACCTTCAGTGTGATCAGTATTTATCTTGGTCTCCTCTTTCTTTTTCTCTGTATTTTAACAATGAATGCTGTTTTCTCTGTTCTAGTCAGTGCGAACTAGGCATGCAACAATCCCAAACTAGGAATCGCTGATTGGCACCGAACGGTTTGTTACCAAACATGTTCGGTCACCGACCGTTCGCAACCGAACATGTTCATTCACCGAACGGTTCGCTGCTGAAACTGTTCGCTGCCGATCAGCGAGCCCTAGCTTAGGATGGTTGCATGCCTGATCTGGACTAAAGGCAAATTGAATGAAATTGGAGCTTTTGATATTGAAACTGGTCGTTGGACGATAATGAAAGGAGCCATTTGATGTCCGTTATATAGCGCCGGGCTGTTTGCCTTCGTGTTTCCGGAAGATGTATGACGATTGCACCGTCTTCGTTGTTTGTTGGACACGATTGTTGAGCATAATCATGTTCATTGTTGATGCAAGTATGTGCGTGTGGTGGTGCTGTTAGCTCGGCGGCTAGCAGATCAGAAATTTCTTCGTCGATCTCTTCATCTGCCAGTTCATCTTCTTCGATCGTTGGATCATCTTCTGTGGAATTTTGCTCTTGTAATTCTTCCACTTGTTGTTCCACTTCTTGCTGAATGAAATGATAAAATTAGACAGAAGATAAGAGCTATTCCGGTCGTGTATACCCATTTCATGATTTTCACCGGTTTGTTTCTTTTTGGATGAACGATATTTCACCGTCTGACGATAAATATTTCGATACAGATGTGTATGACATCGCAGTTGTATTAGTTTTGGACTATAATATATAAACAATTGATCAGGTAGGAGTGTTAGATAACGGTTAAAGAAAGAGCTAAAGTATTGTTTATGAGAGAGCGATAGAAGAATATTGATTAACGCACCATTCTTTTTGAAAAGCATTTTTGAATGCTTTTTCATTGTCACTAATTATGACACACTTTTCTTCCATTTTCGGACACAAGTTCTTCATTGTTTGAACTAAAATGGACAGACTCAACGCAAAAATTAATTCAGAGAACAGTGACCAAAAAAACAGCATCAAGTTGAAGCGGCAAAATCTTATCTGTTCTATTCTTCGCTTACCTAGATAAGTGTGCGCCCATTCATGTTTCGTTTCATGTACCATATAGGCGAGTACGATTGCCGGGTACGATTCAAATCCCTAGAATATAGGAAAACGTGAAAATACCATGTACATTCTGATCCTAGAGTAAAAAAATCTCGTTCGTAAAACTGGAAACCGGAGTGCGTTACAGGAGTCTCAGATACCTTCTTCATCGTTGAACTTCAAGCAATTTATCGTATTTCCAACAACTGGATCCGGTAATTGTGATAATTTTTCATTCGTATCAACAATCGAGAAAACATCTTCGCAATCTATTATATTCAGTTGCCTCACCGAAGAATGAATGTGATGGAAGAGGAAAGCTCAGCACCTAAAAAAGGTATATTAATTAAGAAGCGAATAAACTTACATTGAATATTTCGATTATTTGTTCATCTGCACATATAATAACCAGTTGTGGCATAAGGAGATAAAACCGGACAAATTTTGAATGGTGCATTCCAATTGAATACAGTGAAAACTTACAACATACGTATATTACACAATGGAGACAATGACATTTTTTAACAGCTGTGGTTGTAAATAATAACTTACATTTCATCGTGTGTTAATTTCAATTGATTTAGCTGTTTTTGTCGGCGATACTGAACTTGACGTTTGTTGTGAATTGTCGAAACGCCTTCTGGTGTACATATTAAATCTCGATAGACTTGTGCGCTTGTTTCATGTTGTACACGTTTTTCTATTTCTTGGATCACTGCTGCTCGTGTTTTGTTTGTGGTACTCCTAATTTTACATCACCTAAAAGTAAAAAGCAGAACCATAGAAAAAGTGTGATAAGATAAAGGAGGGAGCCGCGTAAGGTCGGGAATCGGCCCACTCTCTTTTTTGACTAAAAATGGATCCATATGTAGTAAAAAAAGTGCCTCTATTCCGTTTTCGATAAAATCAGATACTTTTGTCACGTAAAACCCGGTTAATTCCTGAACAATAGCATCTCAATAAGCACCGTTAAAAAGCCACCATATGATCAGTACAACAGATTTTCCTCAGCTACCTTACACTGAAATGGCAAACTAAACACAGCGT